CGACAACAGTGCCCGGAATGATAGGGTTCTGGTGGTGCAGCTGTGGGTGTGAGTGCATCACCAGATAGTTGACAATCTGTTTGGCAGTTATGCCGCACTTGAATGCCTGCCGACAGCTCTCCCGTGTGATCACTCCCAACACAAACTTCGGGAACCGGTACTGCATTTCCGTGAAAATGGCCAGTAATGCGATTTGAATAGTCGACTCTATCCGTTATCGCAAATAACATTTCAAATCAATTTCCACACTAATTGTTGTGCAAATGAATACAATACCGGTATAGGCGTAGACTCTATAGTTTGTCTCAACGATTATAAAACCGGATTTCTTTGTGTGAAGTGATGTCCCCTTTAGACCACTCACGAGATTTATGGCGAGTCTCGTCGGATAAAATCTGCCGTCTTTTCGCTGTTAATGAAAAACAATAAAAACATAATTTTTAATTTAAATACATTTATAACTCGATATAAAACAAAACGATAATTACTTTTCTTTGATAAACTAATCCAAACTCTCGTAAGTTCTGAAGAACCAAAAGACTTGAATCAGTCATGCCTTCAGTCGAGTAATCCTATCATTAAAATAAATTGCATCGACAACAGTGCCCGGAATGATAGGGTTCTGGTGGTGCAGCTGTGGGTGTGAGTGCATCACCAGATAGTTGACAATCTGTTTGGCAGTTATGCCGCACTTGAATGCCTGCCGACAGCTCTCCCGTGTAATCACTCCCAACACAAACTTCGGGAACCGGTACTGCATTTCCGTGAAAATGGCCAGTAATGCGATTTGAATGGTCGACTCTATCCGTTATCGCAAACAACATTTCAAATTAATTTCCACACTAATTGTTATGCAAATGAATACAATACCGGTGTAGGCGTAGACTCTATAGTTTGTCTCAACGATTATAAAACCGGATTTCTTTGTGTGAAGTGATGTCCCCTTTAGACCACTCACGAGATTTATGGCGAGTCTCGTCGGATAAAATCTGCCATCTTTTCGCTGTTAATGAAAAACAGTAAAAACATAATTTTAAGTTTAAATATATTTATGACTCGATATGTATTATAAAACAAAACGATAATTACTTTTCTTTGATAAACTAATCCAAACTCTCGTAAGTTCTGAAGAACCAAAAGACTTGAATCAGTCATGCCTTCAGTCGAGTAATCCTATCATTAAAATAAATTGCAATTAAAAGCTAATCAAAAGCGATGGTAAGAACAGTTTTGATTACTTTTCCCAACGAAAGGAAACTGAGCTGAAAGAGGAAAATGAGTGCTTCCGCCAAATCGAGTCCTTTCGACTGAATTGTGTCCAAATATTTGAGCAAAAAGTAAAACACTTGTGAACTGATGTTCATTAATAGGAACTGAAACCCATTGGCAGTGATGTCTGGTATGCCGTTCGGGTCGTCCAGACGTATGAGATTGGCGTGCAATAAGACATTCTTCGTCTCATTGCTGATCACATCCGTCTCGCGGTGTTTGCGTTCAACCATAAAATGCAGAATCGATTCCCACCTCTTATTCGCGTAACTGTCCAACGACTCGATGTCTGGCGAGTGTTTGTCTTTCGGCAGTTCCTTATATACAGACCACTGTTCGCCACTTCGGGGACACAAACGGGTGAAACCAATGCATATGTATTAACAAAATGCGCGCAAAGAGTGGCGTGAGATGTACTAAATACCCGCCCAATAGAGCTGTCTTAAGGCTGTCGCGGAACGACTGGTTGAGGAGCCAACCGGGAAGTCCTGTCTGCAGTGTCTGACTCTTCCACACATTCAATTTGGTCAACACTTCCGACGCCTCCAAGTGTTCGCTAAAATCAAGAATTGAGTCAAACATTACGGCTCGGTTCCAGTTTCCCGTCTTTTCGATTTAGCCCACCAACATATATATTTTTATAACCAGCACATATAGCCCTCCAAAAAACCCTCTGGGCACACCCCTCCCAGACCTCCTTTTTTAACCCCCA